TGAACAATTGTTTTATAAATGTATCCTCTTTTACACCCTGGTAGCACACTGACAAATTGAATTTCAAAAACTCCAAAATAATTGTGGTCAGAGGTTGGTCTTCATGTTGCCTGTTTTACCCCTTCATGTCCTCGGCTAAATTCGATTGAATAAATACAGACTACTTTTGTTATATCAGTAACTGCATAAATTCAAAATATTTTCTTAATGAAAATACTTCAAAGTAACTAAAGAAGATAGACTCTGTTACATTTAAACATGATGCTGTTTTTGCTCCATTCTAATTGAACGCTTTTTCTGATCGACCAGCTGGGTATGGCTGCTAGTTACAAATAAAGCGAGACACCATCAGACAAGGAACAGGCCGATTGGAAGACTTCAAAACAACAGAAAAGAAGAGAAAGCTGAAATGGTATGGACACTGTCAAGAACAGAAAGAGAATGCTATGAGCACACCATAAGAGTCAATAATCATTCTACTGTCATCCTACACTAAGAAGTAGGAAGAGATAATAAAAGAAATAGGCTGTCAACGCCACTGAGTGAAAGAAAAGATGATTTCACTGTGACTGAGAAAATTGACATGCAACCAAAACATAGAGGGAGTTGATACTGTGCTCAGCTGCACAGAGATGCGACAACCCCACCCGGTTATTGGACATGATCGCCCACGTCCTGAATCGACACGGCACATAACAAATCCAAAGATATAAGCAAGAGTCTATGAGCGATATACTCGGGGAATTCCAATGCTGATGGGCTTGTCTCGATTGTCGAATTGCGTGTTCCCTGCTTGATCGATAATTGTAAATGAACGGAATCAATATTTAACGGTCTTTCAATTTCGCCAGAACGTTTGGATGCACTTAGACGGTGGTGTTAATTCAGCGGTGATCAAAAGTCAATATTTATTATTCATAATAACACCTCTTACAAGGCAAGAATATTATCGGGTGGCGATAAAGTCGAGAGGTTGGTGTAAATTTGGAACTTTCAGACTAAGCCAGAGTAAATAGTCCGGCTGAATATCCAACCATGGTTGCCAAAGTTAACAGCTAGCAATAGATACATATAGTCATGAAAAACGAATATAACACCAAAATATATGTAAACATTTCACATAGACAAGATCTGTAAAAGGACGATATGAATAAAGACAAAAGTAAAACATATCTTAGCCGACGCATTTCGTCCTCTAGGCGAATGCAAGGATTTTAGTTTGGTTTGTTTTGTTTTACGGGATATCAATCTCAATGGGTTATTTAATACCGACAAGATTTTTATTGCTGGTAATTTTTTTTTTCCAAAAGTGTATTGCTGGTAATATTTTTTCTTTAAAAATGTATTGCTGTTAATATTTTTTTCAAAAATGTATTGCTGGTTATAATGTATTGCTGGTAATAATTTTTTCTTCAAAAATGTATTGCTGGTAATAATTTTTTCTTCAAAAATGTATTGCTGGTAATAATGTATTGCTGGTAATAATTTTTTCTTCAAAAATGTATTGCTGGTAATAATGCATTGCTGGTAATAATTTTTTCTTCAAAAATGTATTGCTGGTAATAATGTATTGCTGGGAAAATTTTTTTTCAAAAATGTATTGCTGGTAATAATGTGTTGCTGGTAATAATTTTTTCTTCAAAAATGTATTGCTGGTAATAATTTTTACAAAAAGTATTGCTGGTATTAGAAACTATTTTTACACTTTCATAGTGCTTTGGGAGTTAACTATTTACGCATAGCTGGGACCCTAACAGGTGCTACCACCCGGAACGGCAAGGATTTTATTTTGTAACAAGTATTTATATACAAGAACAAAAAATGTTATTGTTTTAACAGAATCTTTTGTATTTTGAACCGCTCGTAAATATTTATCAAGTTAACTGAAAAGTCAGGCAATGGCTATGGAGCACGCGAAGTGACACAATATAATGTCTAATCAATGAAAGTGAGTAAGTGATGCTTTAGAATTTTTTGTGCAAACTACAATTTAAATTACTTTACTTTAGAGTTTAAATTATGCCTTATATATTTTGAATAACATGAGGTTATGGATTTAACCATTTTCTTTTAATTTCTACCTAAAATATCAATATTTGCAGTGATAGAAAAATAAATAAATATAAATAAATAACAAGGAGACAAAATTTTTCACTCTCTCTAAAAATAGATGTATATTCAGAATCGCTAGATCATAAAGTCCTACTTCGACCAACCAATCAGAAAGTATCCCGACCAGGATACGAACATTATAGCCTAACTACCCAATCAACACAAGATACTTTCTCAACCATGATAAATTTCCACAGCTCGTAAACCAATCAGAAGCAAAGCGGTAGTCAGGAAACGGATCTCTTTGTCTAGCAAGCACACGAATCGATGAATTAATTTTATTATTTCTCCAATGCTGTGATCATCGTAACGTACCTAGCGCCGAAATACGTCGCTAATGCACGACACCCCACAGTCCCATTTAAACACATATATATATACATAACTATTTCTACCCTTTAGACTGGCGGCTAAAAAGCCTACACAGTCCTGCGATAATTAAACTCGGCCTTGTGCCACATGCAACCCTCATGGCTAGATACCGATTCAAGCCGAGCTTCTCGGCTTGACGGTCGAACTCTCTGCCTCTGAGCAGAGAGGAACCCGGACGAGGCTCCGCCGAAGGGCCACATGCAACCCTCGCGGGGGTGCTAGATACCGAATCGAGCCGAGCTTCTCGGCTTGACGGTAGAACTCTCTGCCTCTGAGCAGAGAGGTACCCGGACGAGGCTCCGCCGAAGGGCGAAGTCACGTTCGGGGAGGTTGACCAACCCGATCCCGTTTATACGGAGTTCTACGGGCATTTCTTGGCAGAGCCTACGGGCTCAGGAAACCCACGTTGAAACCCTTGTGCCACATGCAACCTTCGTGGGGGGGGGGATAGATACCGAATCGAGTCGAGTCGTTTCGGCTTGACGATCGAACTCTCTGCCTCTCAGCAGAGAGGAACCGCCGAAGTGCAAAGTCACCTTCGGGGTGGTTGACCAACCCGATCTCGTTTACACGAGTTCTTCGGACATTTTTTGGCCGAGCCTACGGGCTCGGGAAACCCACGTTAAACTCGGCCTTATGCCATATGCATCCCTCGTGGGGGGGATAGATACCGAATCGAGTCGAGCCGATAGTAGTTCACTCCAAACCAGACTGACAGTCATACTAACACCTTCCACATCTTGTATTATTATTTCGTGTAATATACCTTCGTTATTTCTACTCTTGTGTTCGTGTTGTTCTTCCTTGGTCCTAACCTGTTATATAAAAATTTATTTTATATATATTAACTCTCTGTGCTTTTTCTTTCAATTCCTACCCAAGACTATAAAGATCAATGGTGAGAAAAGAGGTAGTCATAAGATAACCTCCACCATCCACCATATAAATTCTGGTTCTAGGACAGTTGTGTACTGGACATTTGCGTACCTAGACAAATCTGTAAGTGACAATTGCATCTCTGGACATTTGTGTACCGGACATCTGCGTACCTGGATAATTGCGTATCTCTGATAATTTTTTGAAGCTTTTACAGGCAATTACCATAAATTTTGAAAAAAGCATTGGCAATAACCATAAATTGTTAAAAAAGGAATAAAATAAAATAAAAATAAAAGTTTATTTTTGTTTAAAATGCAATGACAGATTAACAGTGTGGCAAGATCGCTCAACACATCGCCTGTATGTTTTTGTTTCATCGGCGTTTTTCTTATGACAGTGGGGGTTGTAATTTTCCTCGTTCACAAATATTTTTCCACCGATGTTTGATATTTGGAACTTAGCCATGGGTTCCAAACAAAAATATAATCTATAAAATCCAGAATCTGTTTGATGTTTGTGGTGCGTTTCTAGAGTGCACTGAAACTGCTAGCTTAATTTTCTCTTGCTTTAAAAAAAAATATTTTTTTCTCTTTTTTATTTATGGTAACTAGCTTTCGGCTTGATTAGAGTAATTAAAGGTATTGGTGTGCAAATTTCTATATTAAAAAAAATTACTAGAAGTTCGCAATTATCCAGGGACACACTTGTCTAGGGACGCAATTGTTTAGTACGCAATTGTCCGGGAAGAAAATGTTCACTATTTAATGATATAAATTTGCTAATTTTGAAGTAGTTAATGTTACTTTTTAATCCAGTATTATTTCTTAATAATGTAAGCATTATATTGACTTAATATACGTATTTGAGTAGCCATCTCTCTTTTTCGAAACAGTGACATTGATATATGTCAACGGGATCAATCGAAAGTTTTAATAAAGAAAGTATGCTTCCGGTAGGGATCAGACCTATATTCCTTTTATCCCGGAAATAGTTAAGCATACCTAGCTTAAAAGTAGTTTCTTATGATAAAGTGTAGGTTCGATCCATAATAAAAAGGCCCATTTGCTTTATGAAAATTTCACTTGCTTAGGCCAGTAGATGCTTTGTATACCGTAAAGCTTATTACAGCCGGCTTTGCCAAAATATATACAGAGAGAGAGAGAGAGAGAGAAAGAGAGAGAGAGAGAAAGAGAGAGAGAGGGGGAATCTATCTACTACAACTGAGGAGAGAGAGAGGAAAAATTAGTAAATGAAATTTGAAAGTTCAGGAGACGTCAGAAATATAAAGTGGAATTAGACTTTAGAAGGAACCGGAAACCCAATTCTAAACTGAAAACAAAGGATAAAGCTCTACTCCAGTTCAAAAGACCGGAGATATTTATTTTATATTTATTTTAGATTATGATTAACAACATTAGATTTTCATAATAAAATCTCATAACACTAAATGTTATTTTAAATATTTTTTTTTTATATAACACGGATAATATACGATGAAATTCACATCGGATAGTTATCATATTAGTATAACCTGAAAATTCTGCCAACGTTAGTTCATTAATGGTAGTTTTATTAAATATTGACTTGCAGAATAAAGTCTGCTATAGTGTCAGTATTTATCGTATAATTCATCAGATATGATTTTTCCTAGCTCTCTAATCTATCTATCTATCTATCTATCTATCTATCTATCTATCTATCTATCTGTCGTGGTTGCTCCTATCTATCTATCTATCTATCTATCTATCTATCTATCTATCTATCTATCTCAATCCGTTCCTATCTAAGCATATATTTCAGTTCATTCATTCATTCATTCATTCTCTCTCTCTCTCTCTCTTTCTCTCTCTCCATATATATATATATATATATATATATATATAATTTCCTAACTATGCATCTATGCCTATTCATGTCTATCTACCTACCTATCTAGCTTTTGGTTATTCCTATCTATTTATCTATCTTTCTATCTATCTGTCTTTTCTATCTATCTGGGCCAGTCTGTCACCTTTATCAATTTTTTCTTTCTATCTTTGTCTATTCATATCTATCTATCTATCTATCTATCTATCTATCTATCTATCTATCTATCTATCTATCAGGTTATTACTAAAATGAATATAGCAGGTTTACTCGTAACTGAATCTTCCATTCTTGTGAAATAGTGTGAAGAAGCTTCACCAATCCAGCACAACAAGTAAAGTGGATAATTATCTTCAGTATCCTATCGTAGAACTGGAGGCAGCTAATTAAACAAACAATTATGTTTTCTCGTGAAAGAGATTATCTTTCTTCGTGTCGCGCTGACAACGGCGCTTGTTACGATACGATAAATCCAGACACAATTGAAGCTATTAATTAGTATTTCTCGGATCCTTAAAACAGACCCCGTTGATCGTTAACGCAATTGTCGTAGCTGCTCTGCCTGAGTGCCTTTTTTGGAGCCTGCAGTCTGCTGCACAGCGAGGGCCATGGGCGATTTAGAGCTTATCGTTGTTTTCAGGACTTCGTCTTACACATGCACGACGGCCAATGGATCAATAAGGTTATAATCTGATGCGTAGTTATTAGCTGAATTTTGATCGAAAACTTTCATAGTATAATGTTTAATTTTCTATGTGAGCAATAGTTACTATAGTAAAAAAAGATGTTGACAAGGAAGAGGATTTATTCTCAAAATAATATATTTTTGGTTATAATTAGAATGCCCCCCGCTTTTCTGAAGGCGGCATTTTAATTATGACCAGAAATACACATACACCCTTATGCAAATTAATTGAAACAAGACATATAATACCATTATTATTTACTTTTTTTTTCGTATTTTTCCAATGAAACATGACCCAGTGCCCATGTTAGTACTTCGTATGTCCATTCCACGAAGTCGTTTCTTGCAAATTGACCACAGATTCTCGATTGGATTTAAATCAGGAGATTTTCCGGGCCAGTCTATAGTACTTTGATTTGCTCACTGGTATGACTTGCCAGTGTGTTCGTACAGCGTTACAATTTTCGTACGTTCCTTGGAGTAACATCCATCGCAGACAATGGCCGTAAAACAACTAATCGACAGTCGAGACAATAGTGTCTGAGCATAGTAAAAATCTGATGCAATCACGGATGACGCAATAATTTTCAAGGTCAAACAAATTTCATCATACACCCCTAAAATAGATTCATATTACTGCACACCACTGCAAATTACCTAATCTGAGGGAAAAATAGAAATGGATTACACCCTGTCACTCCAGTGGGTCGAAAATTGACCGTATAGTGAAATAAATGAAACAAAAACAATTGTTTCAACTAATTTGCACAAGGGTGTACATACACAGCTAGATGTAGCCGTAAGTTCTATGCTAACAGTTTCTTTTCTTGCTCTTCTCGCTTGTGTAACTGCCTTCCGGCTCCATGCTTTCCAGCCAACTTTAATCTGCAAAAATTTACTGTCCTCCTGATTACTCTTTTCTCTTCCTGTTCATTATTAATGTTTCTGTTCCTAATTCTTCCACACCTTGTAACCTCTCGTGTCTTAGTGGCCTTGCATGGGGAGACAGCGATTTAAAAAATGCATATATGTATATATCTGTATGTACATAGGTACCTCCAAAGACACACACACTATTTCACAAATTAATGAAATTATGTTTTAAATCTTTCTTTTTGAGAAAATTTTGTAAAAATATTTATTTAACATTTGTTAAATCACACTTATTTAATTTTCTGAAATTTCTAGAAGTTCTTTTTTGTAGCGCTTAATGCTTATATTCGTTATAAGAACAAATCCTCGGAGAATTTAAATCATGAAATCTATTGATCAAACAGGAATCTCACTTATAGAAAATTTTTTCCGAATCGTAAAATATAAAATACAATAAAGACATTTTTAATTAGAAATGCTTTTAAATGCTTTTCTGTATAAAATATTTTATGGACACCATTGTCTTAAGAAAAAAATATTTTCAGTTAATAATTAATTTTTACGAGAATTTTTTCATTTTTTTAAATTTTTCACTAGAATAATATGTAAAGTTTTAAAACTTTTAAAATTCTGTATTAATTTGTAGCGGTCAAGTGATATTGTTATTAAATTAAGACTGTATTTACTAATTTTAAATGGAAAAGCTCACTACAATTCAATGCCCCCAATATTTTACCAAGAATGTTGAATTTATTTTATGTGCCTATAAACATGCCCATTTTGTAAATACGAGTGTCCAAACGAGACATTATCAGAAATGGGTAATTATAGTAAAGTTAATATTTATTGGTAATTTTCTTACATTTTCTTAACAAGCGTCTTTATAAGCTAGATTATAAAGCCAAAGTACCTAAAATTCAATAAAATATTAACTTGCTTAGAGTATTTTTCTTAAATTTTTAAGATTACTGGGTAGTTTTAAAAAATTGCATTAAAAAAGCGTTTACGTTGTATTCGTCACATAAATGTTACAGTTATGTCCCTCTTATAAAACATTCTCAGACATAAGTCTATCGGGAGAGTTATCAACACCTCATAAAAATACTCAACTCCATGTTAAAAATACTTTTCTGCGATATTTTAAACCACAAGTAATATTTGTTTCAAATCAGATTAATAAAACTATAAATAAGCTAATCTTACTCAAATAAAGTTACAGGAAATTATATTTTATTTTTTAAAGATTTTTTAATACGTAGAATTGCGTTCTGTTGCCAGATTTGTCAATATGGCCGATTTTAGCGTTTTTGCTGATAATAAATAAAACTAATTACGATCAATTTAAATCCAGTTTGAAATACAGCAAAGCATTTTGGTTATTAGAAATATTAATTTAATCTATTATCTTGAAATAAAAATTAAAATAAAAGCTTCAAGAATATATATATATAATGTATGTTGTTCGCAGGTCTGCAATGACCTGGGGTGGTAGAACCTGTTAGGGTCCAAGCTATGGGCAAACAGTGAACACACATACTAAAACAAAACATAGTGAAATAATAAAAATACGTCTTATAGTATAATTACCAGCAATACATTTTAATATAAAGAAAATTACCAGTAATACCAATTAATTAAAGTAAAATTATTAACAATATCCATTTATAGTAAAATTAGCAAAATAACAAATTTATAGTGAAATTATCAACAATAAAATTTTAGTATCTGTCTATATTTCTGAGATGAGATATTATGTACATTATTTACATTATTCGGACTATTGTCCTTAAGGACACACGGCACAGTGGATAAAGGCGTTAGTTAGATCCAGTGACAGGACCCAAAGAGTGTGAGTTCAATACCCGGTTAAGGCAGTGGGAAATTAACAGAAGATAACTGATAAATGACATCCATTAAAACATGACATGTAGAACTAGAACAGTCTACCCCAGTGAGCGAAATAAAGAGTTCAGTTCGACATTCCAACCACCTAAAGAGGGCCGGAGCGTACAACGGCTGAAACGTTGTAATAAATATGGCAACAACGATGAGGACAATAGTCAAATAATGTAAATATATATATATATATATATATATATATATATATATATATGAGGAAAATGTATCACAAAGTTTTCTTGCGACGCCTTTCGGCATTTAGTACTTCATATTGTTCTTGATATATAAAAATAGATATCGTTATCTCATATCTATCTATCTAAATATATATATATATATATATATTAATGGATATTTTATCCGCCATTATTTCCTGATAGTTCAAACTTTATTTTGTGGATACTCATGTTTCAATAGACGCCCCGTTTTTCAACAGCGTGTATTACGTCTACCGCCTTACTCCTTTGAGAGACTAAGAAAATCTCGTCTCCGGCAGGATTCGACCCTGAGTTCCTCTTTGTAGGAAAAGCCCCTCCTGGTGCATTGTGCTGTGAACGAGCAGTCTAAAGTATTCTGGATCAGATGGTTGTTTCTTATTCAGCTGAAGCTAATCACCTTAATTTCCCTTGTGTTCCAAATGTAAAGAAAAATTTCCAGTCAGCTACTTTTCTAAGAGCTGCTACTTCCCGGAACAGTTTCCCGTGTGTGGCTTCCCTGGACATCTCAATATTAGTCTCCTCAAGTCAATGGCCAATCTTTATCTATCCTCCTTATCCTCATAATACTCGCTTCCTACTTCCCTTTTACATTCATATCCCACACCTCATTGAACGACCCCCTACCTTGAGTTGCTCTTGAGCTTTGGATTACGTGAATCTTAATAGAAAAAAATATAATTTTCAAACAATTATTTTTGTCCCTGTTCTGACATTCATTCACATAAACCGGTTATTAGGTTACGTGCAGTTTCCCGTTGCTTTTCTTGTGTTCAGTCTGTGGGTGTTGAATTCTCCAAGTCTTCTTTCTTCGTTATAACGGGTGTAACAGCAAAATTGTTTAAATCATGTAAAAGCAAAATTGTCCATTTTTTTTTAGATTAAGCTAGGAACCGTTGTATCTTAGAAATGATTAAAGATATCTTACACTATCGGACTCTATTTTTAGCAATAAGAATGTATAATTACTCTCCAAGCTTAACGGAGGAATCATGATTAAATCGATCATAAACAAAAATATCATGTTCATCATTAATTTATCATAGGTAAGGATCAGAAGTTCAGGAAGTATCAAAATAAAGTTCATATATATATATATATATATATGTGTGTGTGTGTGTGTGTGTGTAAATAAAAAGAAAGAACAGTAAGATATATAATCCGGTGTTCTTATAGATATTTTTATTTTTACAAAATAGTGTTCAATGTAAATTTACAGAGCATTAATATGTATCCCTACCCCCTACTAAAACGTAACTAATAACTGATACATCAAAATACAGCGATAATGAACACGCAGACACCCCTTGTCTAGATGAATGGGTTTCTCTGTATCCTTGGAAACGTGAATTAAGATTTTTTTGCTGTGCCTTTAAAACCCAGTAATAAGTTACTCCAAAATTCGCTTGAGGATGAAATGGAAGTAATGTCGTTAATTTAATTACAAAATTAAATTCGAAGCTTTTAGCTTCCATTTTTGAAACATGGTTAGAACTGTGTAACGAAAAAAAAAACATATTTTAAATCAATTAATTTATAATATATATATATATATATATATATATATATATATATATATATTATTCCAGCATCATATTCCAACTTATTCAAGATGGTTCAACCTTATAACTTTCTGTCCTGTATTAACAAAGTGCCTCACACGTTACCCGTACGATTTCATTTTCAAGTCTTTTTTTCACTTCTCTTTGGACTGTCATAGTTGAAACTCCTCCTCTCATGCGTCTTATGGATTGTGTTCGATGTTTTGATCTCTTTATCTCTAAGTTGAAATGATGAACGCTCTTCCTGTTGTGACCTCCTGATCCAGTTTTCCTCTCTACTGTTCCCTCTTTTTTAAACTTAATTGTCGTTCTCTTGATGGTCCTTGAATGGATTTTGAAGATGGAAGCCAGAGTATGAATGTTGGTACCATTACTGAAAGCTTGAATGTTTTGTTTGTTTTTTTCTTCTCACCGTTGCTCACATTGGGAAGACATAGTGGGGATAACACTAAACGATTTTAACCTCTTCTCTTTCCAACTGAATAACCCAAAGGGTTTTTTTCTGTGATTCTTACGACAAATGGTGACAAGATGGCTACATGTCTGCTCTGAAAATCCAGAGGAAAAGAAACGCAGTGGTTTTAGATATTAAACATTTTGTGGGATGGACAATTTTGCTGTTACATGATTTGGACAATTTTGCTGTTACATGATTTGGACAATTTTACTGTTACATGATTTGGACAATTTTGTTGTTACATGATTTGGACAATTTTGCTGTTACATGATTTGGACAATTTTACTGTTACATGATTTGGACAATTTTGCTGTTACATGATTTGGACAATTTTGCTATTACATGATTTGGACAATTTTACTGTTACACCATTTGGACAATTTTGCTGTTACAACCGATATATCTCTTGTTTCAACTCGTTCTGACTGTAATTATTTTTTTCTGTTGTAATGTCGTATATTGTAGTTGATTTGTTTGTTTAACGGCATATCAACTCCTTATTGGTCATTTAATACTGAAATGTAATTTTCTTGGAAGCTTTGAAGTAATAAAAATATGACATGTGTTATTCTGCTTTCACAATTGAATACATGGTAGATGATACTCAGCATTTTTGAATATACAAGTTCGTGTGGACATGGTTACTAGAAGCGGTGATATGTGTGTTTTATGTTGTAGTTTTGAAGTTATATTTGGGAATATAGTTTGATTTCTTTAAGAAATTGTAGGATATTATATAGATTAATGTTATAAAAGAATTTCTTCCTGTTGTTTGGCTGATTTTCTTTATTGACATATAATATTATTAATATTACAGTAAAAAAGAATTCTCTTATTGCTATATTTGTCCAAAAACGCACAACCTTAAAATTTAAATTCAAACTCAGCGTTGCGACCGCACGTTCCAAAACAATAATACATTTCTCATAGCAATTTTTTCGGATTACATCTCTATTTTCGTTGTCCTCTTATTACCGGGAAGTAAAACAAGAACAAAATCTATTTCCATACCTGAGGATGTCTGTAGGAACAGACGAAAGCTTGTAAAAATTAAAAAGACCTTTATGCAACTGGAATTTATAAACAGGGATCATATCATTCATATACAGGTTCGAGGTTGGTGTATCTTATTTATATTGTTTGCGAAGATGTATTCTCGCCATTTAAATCATTAACCTCTATATTTGTTTTTTTGTATGAATGATTGGTGAATTTATAAAATATATATATATATATATATATATATATATATATATATATATATATATATATATATACGCACAACATAAAACCTACTGACTCCAAAAAAGACAAAGCAAAAACCAATGAATCAAAACGCAATAGAAAAACAAAGACGATAAATGGAGAAACAAAAAAGGAGAAGAAAAAAAAATGACGAAATGATAGACACCTATCGAAACATTAATAAACTGTGGTCTGTACGTAAATGACCAAGACAGGGAACGATTTTGTTCATTTTTACAATTCAATTTTAACACATTTATTTAACATTCAACTTTTTCTTTCAATAATTTCAGCTCTTGGTTAGAATTCTATGTTCAGTATAAAAAGATATTCCTTTGTCGAAACTTAGCCCCCGCCTTCCGCCATTTTTTTTTTATTTTTAATTCATGGCGCTCAATTTACCATTTCCCACCAACAGTTGCCAATATTAATCTCCCCCCACCCACTTCCACCTTTTGCCGGTGGCACAGAGTTATTCTTTTTCTCTGCCTCTACCTTAAACAACGATCTTTTAATCAAGGTACCTCCATCAATATCGTCGCAATCGTTCGGATTCCGAACAGGTTTTTTTTTTATTCATTTCTTGACGTTTCTTTTGTGAGCTTTAGCGCTAAAATTGCTATTACGGCAACCATTTTTGTCTCCTTTTTTTCTTTTCTTTTGTTCTCTCTTCGGTCATCTTTATTCAGTTGAGGAAGATGGCAAAAAGCTCTACCTCCTCCTCCCCCACCCTGCCCACACCTCTCTCTCTCTCTCCCTCTCTCTCACGCACACACACACGCACACACACATCCACTCAATCACAGACACGTTCCTACTGAACTACGGAATCAAAACGCAGACATTTAGTTTCGTTCGGGTTAACATTTTCGATTGAATAATTTAATAGCATTTGCATGCCACGCAATAAAGGTTGGTTTGTTTGTTTGTTTGTTTGTTTTTTCTCAAAATTCAAACTGTCTGCTTTTTCCGTTAAACTACTTATTCGGCATGTCTATCAGACACTATCTATCTATATCAATCTGTTCATATCTATCTATCTATCTATCTATCTATCTGTCTGTCTGTCTGTCTATCTATCTATCTATCTCAGTATATATTGGTTTGGTTTGTTTTACGGCATATCAACTTCAATGGGTTATTTAATGCCGACAATTTTTATTGCTGGTAATATTTTTATCTATCTATCTATCTATCTATCTATCTATCTGTCTGTCTGTCTGTCTATCTATCTATGTATCTATCTATCTCAGTATATATTGGTTTATTTTACGGCATATCAATCTCAATGGGTTATTTAATGCCTACAATTTTTATTGGTAATATTTTATGCTATCTATCTATCTATCTATCTATCTATCTATCTATCTATCTGAGTTATCAATCCTAATATTTTTCTTGACTCTCTTTACATTTAAGTGTGCCTGAATATATGTTGAGAAATTGTTCACCTTATATGACTTATATAAGTACGAAAATATGTGTGTATTTATTAATCCTGATTTAGTTAGATACACGAACATACAGGGGCAAAAATGACGGGTAGGCATATTGTCTTGCAATCTATCCACTTGTCATTAAAAACCAGCGTCCGAAAGCTTTTTTTATGATCGGGTCTCTGTCACTGATGACATATTGATGAAAAATACACAATTGTGGATGCGTTTATTTAAGTGAATGTGTCATCCTTACAGATTTTCTTTCTTTTTTCTTTTCTTTCTTTTTCTTTCTTTCTTTTCTTTTTACTGGTGACCATCCGCATTCTTTTTTTCCTTTTCTTTTCTTTCTTCTTACTGGTAATCATCCGCATTCTTTCTTTCTTTCTTTTTTCTTTTTTCTTTCTTTCTTTCTTTCTTTCTTTCTTTCTTTCTTTCTTTCTTTTTGTCGTTGTTCTATTCATTTTTCTTTCTTTCTTTTTCCTTTCTCATTTTTCTCTTTTTCTTTTCTTTTTTCTTTCTAGTTATTTCTCTTTTTTCTTACCGGTAGTCATTTTCATTTTTTCTTTATTCATTTCATTGTGCTATTCGTCATTCTTTCTTTCTTTCTTTCTTTCTTTCTTTCTTTCTTTCTTTCTTCTTACTGGTGGTCATTTACATTCACTTTTTCTTCCTTTCTTTAATTCTTTGTTTTCCTTTTCTTTTTTCTTTTTTTTTTTGCTTGCTTTCTTTCTTCCTTTTGTTTCTTCCTAATTTCCCTCTTTTTTTCCCCCTCATTTCTTTCTCTCTTTCTTTTTATCTCTTACTAATGGTCACCTTCACTTGTTCTTTGTTCCGTTCATTTTTTCTTTCTTTCTTTCATTTTCGTTTTCCCTTCTCTTTTAAAATCATTTCATTTTACGTTTTCTTTTTCTCTTAAGTCTGCACAAATTCATCCTTTTTCTCGTTTACTGAATGATGCACATTCCTCTTCCTCTCCCACTCTCTCAATGCTGTGTAGATTCCTTATTTTCCTTTTTTCTCTCTTATACATATATATGTTTCTCCCTCTCTAGCTCACTCACTCTCTCTCTCTCTCTATCTGTCTATCTCCCTACCTGTGTTTTTCCTTTATTTTACTCTTCTATATTATAAATGCGAATGTCAGTGTGTCACACTTTTTTCAGTTTTCTCCTAGAGACCGTAGTCCAACATATTATACTATTTTGGAATCAAGCCGACTCTGCGAGCAAATTAAAAACATTCCGGACCGGATCCAGACCTGTAATCCCTAAATTTTGGATTCCCAAGTTTTCATTACTGCCATTATTTTCGGATTCCGCCATCTTGGCTTCTACTGATAAAAACAATTAAAGGGACACAACTCTCTAACTTTCAATAGCTCATGTTCACATGAAAAAAAATACTGTTCTCAAATTACAGTGTTTCAAAATAAAAAAAAAAAATAGTCCGTATTTTCAAATTTACATCCAGAGGCCGTAGCCCAACATTTCATAGCGTTTTAGAATAAGGTGAGCAAATTAAAAACATTCGGGCCGGATCCGAATTTTTTGTACGATAACAATTTTTATAACTTGGAAATAAATTTGGGAATAATCGAAATTAATTGCGAATCCAGCAAAAGTCACCCATGAAATAAAAATAATTGTTTGTACCGAAAGTAAGGACCTACGTACATCAAACTGTTTTTAAATTAAGTGGCGGCAGAATAATTATCGTTGAACTTTTAAAAGGTAAGCTTAAATATTAATGCAATACTTAAATCCAGCAATCAATTTTGCGTTCTTCTGTAGTTTATTGTTGCCCATTGCATCTACTCTTCCCTATCTCCGTGCTGGGTATGACGACAAACTACATCCGCGTCCTGGGTAAGACGATAAACTAAATCCAGCAGAAAGGCCTCTGATCAGGAGGTTTTGATGAGCGTGGAACCACCTCTTAATTGCTGGTGTTTCCAGATCCACCCTGATCTGGGGTGGTAACACCTGTTAGGGTCCCAGCTATGGGAAAATAGTTAACACCCCAAAAAATAGGTTTTAATACCAGAAATATTTTGTAATAAAAAAAATTACTGCCAGCAATAATTTTTGAAGAAAAAATTATTATCAGGAGCACTTAAAAAAAATACCAGCGATACAAACAGCTATACATTCTTTGAAAAAATATGACCCGCTATAGATTTCTTCAAGGAAAAATATTCCCAGAAATAGACTTTTGAAGAAAACTATTACCAGCAATAAAAATTTTGTCAGCATTAAATAACCCATTGAGGTTGATATGCCGTAAAACAATATAAACCAAACAAATCTTCCCTATCTATTGTGATGAGGGCCCAATCAAGAACCCTCTGTAGGAGCTAGCTTAAATGCTGTCAAATACTTTCTTTATATTTCTCTTTCTTTATAACGTTTTCTTTCTTTCATTTTCTTTTCATTTCTTTTTTTCTTTCTCCTTATGTCTTTCTTTTTGTCGCTTTTTCCCCTCATCTCCCCTTTTTTTTGTCTCTCTTTATTTTTGTCTTTCTTTATTTTTGTCTCTCTTTATTTTTGTCCCTCTTTATTTTTTTTTTTTATTTTTTGTCTTTCTTTTTTTTGTCTTTCTTTATTTTTTCTCTTTTATTTTTGTCTTTTTTATTTTTTGTCTTTCTTTATTTTTTGTCTTTCTTTATTTTTGTCTCTCTTTTTTTTTTTGTCTCTTTATTTTTTCTTTCTTTTATTTTTGTCTCTCTTTATTTTTGTCTCTTTTATTTTGTCTCTCTTTATTTTTGTCTCTCTTTATTTTTGTCTTTCTTTATTTTTGTCTCTCTTTATTTTTGTCTTTCTTTATTTTTGTCTCTCTTTATTTTTGTCTCTCTTTATTTTTGTCTTTCTTTATTTTTGTCTCTCTTTATTTTTGTCTTTCTTTATTTTTTGTCTCTCTTTATTTTGTCTCTTTCTTTATTTTTGTCTTTTTTATTTTTTGTCTTTCTTTATTTTTGTCTCTCTTTATTTTTGTCTTTCTTTATTTTTGTCTCTCTTTATTTTTGTCTCTCTTTATTTTTGTCTTTCTTTATTTTTGTCTCTCTTTATTTTTGTCTTTCTTTATTTTTGTCTTTCTTTATTTTTGTCTTTCTTTATTTTTGTCTCTCTTTATTTTTGTCTCTCTTTATTTTTGTCTTTCTTTATTTTTGTCTTTCTTTATTTTTGTCTTTCTTTATTTTTGTCTTTCTTTATTTTTGTCTTTCTTTATTTTTTGTCTCTCTTTATTTTTGTCTTTCTTTATTTTTGTCTTTTCTTTTTTTGTCTCTCTTTATTTTTGTCTTTCTTTATTTTTTCTCTTTCTTTATTTTTGTCTTTCTTTATTTTTGTCTCTCTTTATTTTTGTCTCTTTTTTTTTGTCTTTTTTGTCTTTCTTTATTTTTTGTCTTTCTTTATTTTTGTCTCTCTTTATTTTTTCTTTCTTTATTTTTGTCTTTTTTTTTTTTTTTTTTGTCTTTCTTTTTATTTTGTCTCTCTTTATTTTTGTCTTTTATTTATTTTTTTGTCTTTCTTTATTTTTGTCTTTCTTTATTTTTGTCTCTCTTTTTTTTTGTCTCTCTTTATTTTTTTGTCTTTCTTTTTTTTCTTTATTTTGTCTCTTTATTTTTGTCTCTCTTTATTTTTGTCTTTCTTTATTTTTTGTCTCTCTTTATTTTTGTCTTTCTTTATTTTTTGTCTTTCTTTATTTTTGTCTTTCTTTATTTTTTGTCTTTCTTTATTTTTGTCTTTTTTATTTTTGTCTCTCTTTATTTTTGTCTTTCTTTTGTCTTTTTTGTCTTTCTTTATTTTGTCTTTCTTTATTTTTGTCTTTCTTTATTTTTTGTCTCTCTTTATTTTTTGTCTTTCTTTATTTTTGTCTCTCTTTATTTTTTCTCTCTTTATTTTGTCTTTCTTTATTTTTTGTCTCTCTTTATTTTGTCTTTCTTTTATTTTGTCTCTCTTTATTTTTGTCTCTCTTTTTTTTTTCTCTCTTTTATTTTTTGTCTTTCTTTATTTTTGTCTTTCTTTATTTTGTCTCTCTTTTTTTTTCTCTCTTTTTTTTTGTATCTCTTTATTTTTTGTCTTTCTTTATTTTTTGTCTTTCTTTTATTTTGTCTCTCTTTATTTTTCTCTCTTTATTTTTTATCTTTTGTTTTGTCTCTCTCTATTTTTGTCTTTCTTTATTTTGTCTTTCTTTATTTTTGTCTCTTTTTTATTTTTGTCTTTCTTTATTTTTGTCTCTCTTTATTTTTGTCTCTTTTTTTTTGTCTTTCTTTTTTTTTTTTTTGTCTCTCTTTATTTTTGTCTCTCTTTATTTTTGTCTCTCTTTATTTTTGTCTCTCTTTATTTTTGTCTTTCTTTATTTTTGTCTCTCTTTATTTTTGTCTCTCTTTATTTTCATCCCTTTTGTTTCTTTTCATATTTCCCGTCTTCTCTCTCCATCTGTCTCTTTCTAATCTCTTTCTTTCCTTCATTAGTTTTTCTCTCTGCCTTTCTCCATGTCTCTATTTTTCTCAACCTCTCTATCGTTTTATTTCTCATTATTTACTTTTCTTTCTCTCTGTATTTTCCTTTATTCTTCTCTATTTCACCTCCTCGTTTTTGTATATATTTCTCTCCTTGTTTCTCTCCCTGTTTCTCTCCTTGTTTCTCTCCCTGTTTCTCTCCTTGTTTCTCTCCCTGTTTCTCTTTATGTTTCTCTCCCTGTTTCTCTCCCTGTTTCTCTCCTTGTTTCCCTCTGTGTCTCTTTCTTTTTCTCTCCATCTATGTTTTATTTTCTTTCTCTGTATATCTTTATTTCTATCACCATTATACATTCTTCTTTCCTCTTTTTGTTTCTCTTTATCTCATTCTTTATCCCAGTGTATCTCTCTTTCTCTCTCTCTTCTCTCTCTCTCTCTCATTTCCTTTATTTTTGTCTTCATTTACTATGTTTTGTATGTCTGTCTCTATCTAATTCATTTATTCTTCATTTATCTATATTCCTTTCTTATCTATTTCTATTTTTTATTCTTTTCTTCTACTCTTTTTTTTCGATATCCCTCTTATTCCCCCCCTCTCTCTCTCTCTCCTACACACAGACACACACACGCACACGCTATCTACTAACTCACCCCACCTTTTTTTCTCTCTCTCAATTACATTGTGTCTTTCCGTTTCCCAAGCCTGTCTTCATTTTCACCGCGGTTTCCCGAAACTCATCTCCATATTATCAGGTATATTCATTTTGCCGCCATGTTTTTTTTTTTTTTTTTTTTTTTTTGCATTTTCGTAATCATATATTCTTTAGCTGAGACTGCAAATTTTTGGTTGTCTTTGCTGTTTGTTTTGTTTCTTTTTTGTTTGTTGGGGGGTTTTTTCTCTCCTCCAGGCTGACTAAAAAACGAAGACACTTAAAGCACTTGACCCAGTTTTGAATGGAAAATAAAGAGAAGACAAAAAATGCACTTCCGGGTGTTCCTTGTTGATCAGTATTCTTTATGGATATTACCAGATTAATCCGAAGAAACTCCGATTAAATTGACACCAACTGTGATACACTGACACATTAACTTGGATATGCGAATACACACGCACAAATACACACAGACATGCATTAATTAATATGGCAAGTCCCCCTCCCCCTACTCACACATCCATAGATGTACTAATATATAATGCAAATATTTATAAACATATGCTACAATATTTACTTGAATATTTACTTGAATATAGAGAGCATTCCTTCTTTTATACATGTCTCGTTAAATATACGTACAAGGACTATTTTGTAAGATTTTATATTTTTTCTTTTTGGGGACTGTGTATTCGAAGTGTTTATTTTTCCGAGCGTTTTCAGTTAATACATTACATATTTTCAAGGGAGTTAATTTTTGTTTATCATTTCACTCCAAGCGAGGCAATAAAGCCACTAAGACACAAGGGGTTTATTGTGTGTGAAAGAATATGAGGAAAAGAAAAACATTATGAAGGAGAGAGAACATTAAAAGAACAGAAATTATGAAGACAGAAGATTACGACTGACATTGCATTTAAATTCTGGAAGATCAAAGTTATCTGGAAAGCTAGAAGCCAGAAGAGAATCCTAGAAACGAGAAGTGTGAGAGAAGGAACTGTTGGCATTAAACTTACGGCTAC